TTCAGAGTATCGACATGAAAAGATAGGACTTTATATGTTTAGTAAGTTTTCTTTATTCAAAAATTAAACTCATGATAAATCAATATTTCGACTTTAAAAGGAATATAAAAGACAGTTTTTTAAAATAACACAAAAAAATACATAAAAGTATTATTTTCAGAAGTGTAAATTTAGGGGGTAGGGTTTGGGACAGTCACCTGCCCATAGAAAATACCCTATAAATGATAATTTTGCATATTTGTCTTATTTAAGCTTATTGCTGTTTCAACTGATGTCTTGGGTTTAAATATATCATAACAAAATCATTGTAAACATCTAAGCTCTGAATATTTAATTGTTTTGTTAAGTAGTTTCTTATTGTAGAACTTATTCTGTAGAATGGTCCATATACACTATATGGGCAAAAGTATGTGGACACCTGACCCTCACAGCTATATGAGCTTGTTGGATGTTCCATTCTAAATCCATAAGCATTAATATGGAGTTGGTCCCCCTGTGCAGTTTTAACAGCTTCCACTCTTCTGGAAAGCTTCTACAAGATGCTGGAGTGTCTGTGGGAATGTGTGCCCATTCATCCAGAAGAGCATTTGTGAGGTCACTGATGTTAGATGAGAAGGCCTGGATGGTCACCAGCAAAACCAGCATATCGATCTTGTCAGAAGAAAACCTTGTATCTCCAAAATGGTAACTTTACAGGAGAAGGAAAAAACATAGTTTACTTTTAATGTAAGTCAATGGAACCAGAATATTTTCCAGGTGATTTTGGGCCATTTCTTTTGGTCCATTCTTCATGAAATTTATATACAATGTAAAGGACAACATCTTTTTTCAAATCATGTCAAAAACTGAAAAACGTCAAAAATAGAGATACGAGGTATGTTGTGTTTTGGATGCTGGTATACTGAACAGCCAGCATAGACACTGATGTATATATCTGTCTTTTATCTCTCTGGGGTTCTGGATCTGTTGTGTGCATGTGAAGAATTTGTAAACGAATGTTTGAGCCCTGGGAAAATGTGGGCCTAGAAGCATATGAATCAGAGGACACATGACCCAAATGCATAAAGCCCTGGGTGCAGAGGGCTCTGGGAACACAGGGCCCAGGGAACATTCGCACGCTTCCCACAAACATTAATTAACCTTATTTTCACAAGAAGCTGTCCGACTTCTGCCCGGACAGGTACAAGCAGAAATCTGGTAAATGCCTTTTGGCAACGTTTGGCGTTTTGCCTGGCATCATTTTCCTTTCCCACCCTGTTCTTAATGAACTTTCCTGCTCTCTGTACAAACAGTATCATATATTTAAGAAAAAATAAACAGGTTTAAGTAATAATAAGTGGCAGTTAAACTGTTTTATGGGTGAAATCCATTAAAGATTTTGAGGTCTGTATTGAAAATGCCCAGGATGGATTCAGCCCTGAATTTATTCGCAAAACAATCAAATCTTGGTAACTAAAATTGTCAACCAGCAATGTAAGTAGAAAATAGTAAACACTGTACCTGTTCAGTTAGAATCAGCCAGCTAAGCTCTCTCAGGCTGAAGCTGAGTTGTGGAAAGCGGAGATTGGCAGGTTTCATACTCAGCAGCTGATAATAACGCAGTTTGTGTAGTTCATTTAAAAATGGACAAAGTTGACCATTTGGATGAAGTGTTGTGGTGTCGGCGTAGAATAAGATGTGGGAATAATAGGGGTTTAAGCAGATGCTCTTTTATTGAACAGCTGCAGCAGAGGAGAACTGCCGCTCAGCGGAAATGGCCGAGATAGAAGACAGGTCACTTCCAACCATACTTGACCTACATGGTGGACACCTAACAATGCCTATCTACCCCACAACCCAGCACAGACAAGCACATACAGTGTTAAAGTCACATAAACAACAAATTAAGAGCCAAAGTGTCTCTCCTACTGCAGCTGCCGTGCTTCACAAGAGCTTCTGCCATGCAAGCCAGTAGGGGGCGCTACAATATGCTCTAAACTCAACATCTCAGTATTGTTTTAGGTGAAAGTTGCTCAGAGGCTCAATGTTCAGAACTGAGTTTTTATTTATTTTTTTCTGCACTTTCTTCTTATTAGTTTATGAACAGAGATGCTCATATTTTATATTTACCGAACGTAAAGCTCTGGAAACAAAGAGCCCTAAACCACAGAGCCCTGGGAAATGTGGGTCTTGAAGCATATGGTCCAGAGGACACTTGACCCAAATGCATAGCCCCTGGGTGTAGAGGGTTCTGGGAACACATGGCCCAGGGAACATTTGTGTGCTTCCCACAAATGATTACAAGTCTTAATTTTACGAGAAGCTGTCCTCTGCCCGGACAGGTACAAGCAGAAATCCGGTAAATGCCTTTTGGCAATGTTTGGCCTTTTGCCTGGCTCCTTGTAGTCCGCTTTGATGAAAAGTTTGTTTTGATTCCCACATGTCAATCAGGAAAAGTTTTTATGTTGTTCTGTTGGTTTAGCCATGCTTGTGAATTCAGTCAGCTCAGTACATTTTCCTTTCCCACCCTGTTCTTCATGAACTTTCCTGCTGTATGTACAAACAGTATCACCTGTTCATGAAAAAATAAACAGGTTTAAGTAACAATAAGTGGCTGTTAAACTGTTTTATGGGTGAAATCCGTTAAAGACTATGAGGTCTGTAATGAAAATGCCCAGGATGGATTCAGCCCTGAATTTATTCGCAAAACAATCAAATGTTGGGAACTAACGTCGGTAATTTACCGACTTAATAATAATAATAAACTTAATAATGTTTAGGTCTTTTCTTTGATTTTTCTATTGCACATTACTTTGTTCCTGTTACAGTTTTAGTTTTGTTGTCTATTTTAATTTTTTTCTCACTTTACTTGATTGTTTTATTTGTTTTTAACATTGCAAATCTGCTGAATACAGATCTGCTTCATTCCTTTTGATTTGATGTTATTTGTCTTATAGTTTCCTAATTGGTTTTTATTTCTGATTTTTCTTCATCTTATGTACTGTTTTAATAACAATTTTTGTTACTATTTGATTTGATTTGCTTTACATTTACTGTCACATTTTTTTTTTTTCAGACCCTTTATTTATTTAATGCTCAGCAACATTTAAAATGAGGGTCACCATCAATGCAATCCAACTTTCTGTAGCATTGCTGTCTGATGTCATAGAGAGTCTTCTGACCTATATCATCACTGTCTGATGTCATAGAGAGACTCCTGACCTGTAGCATTGCTGTCTGATGTCATAGAGAGTCTTCGGACCTATATCATCACCGTCTGATGTCATAGAGAGACTCCTGACCTGTAGCATTGCTGTCTGATGTCATAGAGAGCCTCCTGACCTATATCATCACCGTCTGATGTCATAGAGAGACTCCTGACCTGTAGCATTGCTGTCTGATGTCATAGAGAGCCTCCTGACCTATATCATCACCGTCTGATGTCATAGAGAGACTCCTGACCTGTAATATTGCTGTCTGATGTCATAGAGAGACTCCTGACTTATATCATCACCATCTGATGTCATAGAGAGGCTCCTGACCTGTAGCATTGCTGTCTGATGTCATAGAGAGCCTCCTGACCTGTAGCATTACTGTCTGATATCACAGAGCATTACTGTCTGATATCACTGTCTGATGTCACAGAGAACCTGCTGACCTGTAGCATTACAGGAAGACGCATGACTGAGTCAGGTTTGCAACATGAGCTGAGAACGATAACAGGCCATCCAGAATCACAGCAGGGATCTCTCAAATGAAATGACAAGATCATGATGAGGACCTGTAGGATGAACAGCAGCTCAGTCTTGCTAGGATTGAGCTTCAGGTGGTGAGCTGCCATCCACGAAGAGATGTCAGTCAGACATGACGAGATGAGACTGGAAACCTGGGTATCTGAAGGTGGGACGGAAACCATTAGTTGAGTGTCATCAGCATAGCAGTGGCAAGAGAAGCCATGAGAGGATATTACATCACCAAGAGAACGAGTGTCAAGTGAAAAGAGAAGAGGGCCCAGCACCAAGCCTTGTGGGACACCAGTGGAGAGCCTGCATGGAGAGGATGTGGACCCTCTCCATGTCTGCTGGAGCGCCCCTCCAGATAGGACTTGAACCACTTCCATGCAGAGCCAGTGATTCACGGTTGGGGTCCTGGAGCTGGTTCTGAGTAAGAAAGAGAGGCAATTGATTATATAATTCATATTCAAGCATTTATGAGAGGAAAGATAGGCGTGATGCCAGTCTGTAGCTGTTGACATCTTGACAGAGCTGTCAACCATGGGCTTCTTCAGGATGGGAACCATTCTTGCAGTCTTGAAAGTTGAAGGAACTTTAGTCTTCTGACCTGTAGCATCACTGTCTGACGTCATAGAGGGCCTCCTGACCTGTAGCATTGCTGTCTGACGTCATAGAGGGCCTCCTGACCTGTAGCATTGCTGTCTGACGTCATAGAGGGCCTCCTGACCTGTGGCATCGCTGTCTGACGTCATAGAGGGCCTCCTGACCTGTGGCATCACTGTCTGATGTCATAGAGGGTTTTCTGACCTGTGGCATCACTGTTTGATGTTATAGAGGGTCTTCTGATCTATAGCATCACTGTCTGATGTCACAGAGAGCTTCTTGACCTATAACATCACTGTTGGATGTCTTAGAGAGCTTTCTGACCTGTAGCATCAGTTTCTGATGTCATAGAGGGCTTTCTGACCTGTTGTCTCACTGTCTGATGTCACAGAGAGCCTCATGACCTTTTGTAAAATCAACAAAACGTGTAATTGGATGGGGGGAGATATTCAAACTTTTGCATACACACTACAGACATTGTATGTAGTCCTAAAAAGTGCTGAGTATAAACCATCTGTCACTTCGCTTCTCATCTGCTAACATCAAATAAATGAATAATTCAATCATTCCAACAATGTGCCAGCCACACCTCCTCCTCCTCTCCAATCAGAGCTCAGTATGAGCTCCTTCCTGATTCTGATTCCTCTTATAAAGCCGCTCAGCCGTAGAAAGAAAGCAGAAAGAAAGAAGCAGAAAGAAAGAAAGCAGAAAGAAAGAAGCAGAAAGCAGCATGGAGCAAAAGCTGGACCGCATCGCAACTGAGTTCAGAGATCTGACGGGGGATCTGAGGAGAGAAATCAAAGGTAAACAGACTCTCTCTTAGCCTGTCTGAGATATTATAATTATAATAATGGATTATTAAACTAAGCTTAGTTTCTATTCGAAAACCCGGATCACAGTGTTTTGCATATTAGGTCAACATACAGAGTATTCATTATATGTGTTATGTGTGTTATATTACATGTTTAACCCCGAGACACTAACAGAGAGAGTAATAAACTAAATATCTCGCTGCTGTCGAAAGAAAAGTTTTTCAGTTTTTGACATATTCTTTAAATCAAATGTTGGCCTTTACATTGTGTGTAAATTTCATTATGAATGGATCAAAAGAAACGACCCAAAATGACTTGGAAAAAACTCTGGTTCCATTGACTTACATTAAAAGTAAGTAGGTTTTTTCCTTTTCCTGTAAAGTTACCATGTTGGAGATACGAGGTTTTCTTCCGACAACAACAATATACAAAATCATCATTTATAGGGTACTTTCTTTAGGGAGGAGTCTGTCCCAAACCCTAACCCCTAAAAAGACATTTTTTTGTATTATTATTATTATTATTATTTTAAGTCTTTTAATTTCTTTTAAAGTGAAGTAGAAAGATTTTGATTTATAATGATTTTAAAATTTTAAATAAAAAAGTTTCATTCAAAAAATCACTACTGAAACCCAGAGTTTCAGTCTGTAGGCAGAGCCTTAATTTAGCCACGCCCCTGCATTTCAGAGCAGGACGTGAGGCTGCATCCCTGTCCCTCATGGCCACATGGTGATCAGTTAGATCCCATTGTTTTGAAGTAAATGTGTCCCAAAGTCTGAAAATCAGTGTGGAACATTAAGAATCGTCATATTTTCTGCAGTTCAGCACTTTTTAGTGTTTTAATGTAAAATATGATGATTTTCTGTGTGAACAGCTGTTCAAAGCTGTGTTTGCTGAGTTTCTGAGCTCAGCATTGTGACAATTGTCACTGAAACAGTCACTACTGACACATTTGGTACAGTTTGGTAAAGTGTTATGATTGGTTTGGTAGGGACAAAATGGAATGTTTAATCATTAGTTTAATAAAATAATCATAATTAAGGTTTAGAGTCACTCAGAGCAAAAGGATTTCAGTCTAAAGTCCAAGATCAGTTAAAAGTCCCAGATGTGTTTCAGCTCTGACTTTGAACTGGATCAGTAGAATCATACATATATTTTTTTTAATGATTTTTTAAAGCAGCTACAGTTGATGCAGCCGCATGTGTTCAAGAAGATCCCCGCCACTGCAAAGCAAATGTGGCCATTTCCAGCTATGTGTCCAAATATTTTTGAGTGTCCCCATTTCTATGCTTCATACAGAAGTAATTTTTGACATTCCTGGTCAAATCCTGAAGTTTTAAATCATTTTTATTAACACAATTTGAGAATTTCAACTTATAATTAATCTGAGTACCACTCAAATTCTAACGCTAATTTCCATCTATGGGAATTTCATTGTAGTGTTAGTGCCATGCTAGCTGTGGTATGCATTCACTTTGCACATGGGGTTTTGTACTATTTAAGCCATCTTAGGTATATGAAGCTTCTAGCAGACATTCAAGTATGTTTTACAGGGAATCCTTCAGTGAATCTTAATTGAATATTGTTGGAGGAGCCTGTTAGCCTGTTTGCTATCTGCTGAGCTGATTATTCTAGACATAAACAAACCCTTTTACTTCATACACACACAACTTCTAACAGCTTCATTTTACCTTGTACAATTACAAATTCACTACAAACGTACAGTTGTATGCAACACTCCCTGTCAAATGACGTTGTTGCTGATTTCCCAGGTGAAAATACATTAACAGATCCTCTACAGAGAACAATTTGGCATTTTCCTGCACATTTTAGTGAATAATTTCTATTTATTTGTTTCACAAAAAAAAAAAAAATAAAACATGAAGTATACATGGCCAAACAATGTATACAGGCCACACTTTGTGTTTCATTTTTTCCAGTATGATAAACTCAGCAAATTAACAGTAACTGTGTATTAAAATGTGCAGATGTATATTCTCTGTGGAGAATGTGTTCACTTATTTGGTGTGTTCACAAATTTAGAATTTGACCAGGGGTGCCCAAACCCTTGCGTATCACAGTATGAGCATTGGTGAGATCCTGATGGTGTGGGTTTCCTCTCTTTCAGTGATGCACATAAAAGTAATTTTAGTCCTTATAGCTCCCCCTTGCTTTCTGCCCATTGACTACTGGGTTAGGCATCCCCTGTGACCCAGAAGAATAGAGCAGCTTAGAAGATGTGTGTGTGTGTGTGTAGCTCCCCCTTGTGGGGAATGTAGACACTGCTGAACACAGCTTTAAAATGACCTGTGAATAATCTGATTAGCACTCAAATTGTAAGGTAATCACAAAGCTGATTTACCAAGAATATAAGCTTTAATTAATGATTTTTTAAATCTAGTAATCAATTTTAATCAAATAATCATGAAACCCTATATAATTTGTTCATTAATGTGACAAACCTTGTGTAAAACACTGAAGAACATTCAGACAAATGATTTAACGGCGCCAAACATGAACATCATTACAGAAGTGGGAGAACTGCAGGATGTAGTGAAGAGACTGAAAACTGTGGAAGATACACTGGAGGAGCTGAAGAAGGAAAAAGGTAAAAGTCTATATATGTATTTTATATTTAGTGCTCAAATTCGTTCCGGTCCTATAATCTGATTGGCTGAACTGCATTTGAAGTGCACTGACCACCTCATAGCAACTGAACTCTGCATCACTGCACCACGTCATGCAAAATCCTTATGCGATATGGCCAAAAATGTTATCACAATAAACAAAATTCATATCGTTTGATATTGATACATATCGCGATAGATGTCAAATAATTATTTATTTCGAGTTTGAAGGCTGATTTTTGCTCCTGGGGGGTTAATCGCTGTTTAAAACTATCCTTTATGGTCTGAACACGACAAACACTCACCAACCAGTGGAACATTTCACAGATCTGTCATGGGAGAGTGGGAGAAAGTGTCTGCTGAGCTGTTTTTACCAGCTGGAAGAGCACGGCTATTTTATAATAGTCATAATTTAAGAAAGAAAACAGATTATTTTTTGCTGTCTGGTGACGAGCGCTCGGCTACCCCGCTACACATGACATCAGTATTCAGACACCAGCTAGATGACTGGATTTCTCTATACTACCGTAGTAGTTAAAGTGGTGAACCGCAAAATATCAACACCAGACAAGCAGAGTCCTCCTTTCAGGTACATTTAAACTGAAAGCGGTGCTTTTGTGTCGTGTTTGATCTACAGTATCATCAGTTCCCTGTGTTGTGGAGTGACGGAGCTGCTTCAAGTTACCCAGCGGCTAAAAACAGCTAGCCTGGAAAGATAGCGCTCTCCTGCTCTCCAACGCCTCACAGCGTCCTAAGTTTACTGTCGTTTAAATCAGGGCTGTAATTTACATGAACCACTTTTTTCTTTCACTTTTGTTGCTTGTGAACGCACTAATACTTAAATATGACTGTCCGGGCGCTGTAACAGCGCTGTAGTTGTGAGGAGCAGACGTGATTTAAAGCTGCTAAAGCTGGTTAGGATGTTAGTAAAGAGGTGAGTTCACTGTAGGACAGTACAGTTACACCACTGATCTCGTCACTCACACTCGGTCACAGGAGAGCAGATCGCCGGTCGCTCCACTCAAACAGGGAATGTATAACTCCACACTTCAGCCGTTGCTAAAGACTCATCTTACTCGTGGCCCCCTCCCTCTCTAATCATGTAGAAAAACTCGGAAGTGCGCCCTCTCCTGGCGACAGCCGAGTAGTGTCGCTTTCCTTGCAGTAGAAAACACCACCACGGCTTTCACTAGAATGTGGAAGTGTGAGAGCGGTGTATTATATCGAACATTTATCGAACATGTCGTATTGCTCTATCGAGGAAAAGTTATATCGTGATAATTATCATTATCATTTTAGCGCCCAGCCCTACCTTGTGCTGTTAATGGATTAATCTTTGACTCTCATGCTGCTCACATGGAGCACCGAGTGAACTGATGAACTAAATATGCAATAAACTGCAATATAAAATTGTAAAGAATGTCACTTGACTGTCTTACACACTTGAAATGCCCATGTTTCAGTCAGAAGTCGTGTCAAACCCTGGCTGAATCCCAAATGCCTTGAATACTCCCTAAATAGTGTGCTGGCTATGGAGCTATTGAAATTCTAGCTTCTACAGACGAACAATGCACAATTTGTCCAGTATGAATGCAGCTGAATCCCAAATGATTTTTTATGACTATTTTTAGTTTAAAACTCCAGCAGCACTGCTGTGTCTGATCCACTCGCACCAGCGCAACACTCACTAACACACCACATCAGTGTTACTGCAGTGCTGAGAATGATCCACCACCCAAATAGTACCTGCTCTGTGAGGGTCCATGGGGTCCTGCCCACTGTAGAACAGGATAAAAGGGGGCTAACACAGTATCAGTGAAACAGATGGACTACAGTCTGTAACTGTAGAACTAGAGTAACACTAAATGGTCAGTGGAGCTGATAAAATGGACAATGAATGTAGATACAAAGTAAGTGTACCTTATAAAATGCTCAGTGAGTGTATATATTTGTATATATTCCCAGAGAAAAAGGTCGCCTTTTCTGCATCACTGTTGGCCTCTGGAGAGGGACACACTGGACCCATGAAGCCTGTGCCGTCACCACTGATCTACAAAAAAGTCTCCAGCAACTATGGAAACGGCTACGACCCAAATACAGGTACAGTATATGGGAATTAGTATCATGAAGGTCAATCATTCAGCCAATGAGCTGATCAGTTCACCAACCAATCAGCACTCAGTAGTAGTAAGGCTAACCAATCAGCACTCAGTAGCAGTAATGCTAACTAGTGAGCACATAGTATCAGTAATCCTAACCAATCAGCACTCAGTAGCAGTGATTCTAACCAGTCAGCACTCAGTAGCAGTGATTCTAACCAATCAGCACTCAGTAGTAGTAATGCTAACCAATCAGCACTCAGTAGTAGTAATGCTAACCAATCAGCTCTCAGTAGAAGTAATGCTAACTAGTGAGCACGTAGTATCAGTAATGCTAACCAATCAGCACTCAGTAGCAGTGATTCTAACCAGTCAGCACTCAGTAGCAGTGCTTCTAACCAATCAGCACTCAGTAGTAGTAATGCTAACCAATCAGCACTCAGTAGCAGTGATTCTAACCAGTCAGCACTCAGTAGCAGTGATTCTAACCAATCAGCACTCGGTAGCAGTGATTCTAACCAGTCAGCACTCAGTAGCAGTAATTCTAACCAATCAGCACTCGGTAGCAGTGATTTTAACCAATCAACACTGAGTAGCAGTAATGCTAACCAGTGAGCATGTAGTATCAGTAATGCTAACCAATCAGCACTCAGTAGTAGGGATTCTAACCAATCAGTATGGTGCCTGAGTACACAGCTGAACAATGAAATCAAGAACTGCAACATATGTGCAAAAGAAAAAGTGAACTTCCGAATTTCCAGATTGGCCCTGGTACAAAGTTGGAGCAGACCTCTTTCAGTTCAAAGATCAGCCGTACTTACTCATGGTGGACTACTTCTCCAGGTTCTTTGAGGTGGCAAAGCTCACTTCAACTTCCTCAGAAACAGCAGTTGAACACTTCAAATCTATCTTTGCACAGCATGGGACTGCTGCTGTTGTCTGCGTGGATAACGGTTCTCATCTAAGAGCTTCAGGAAGTTTGCTTTGGAAATGGTTTCCACAAAGTAACTGCAAGGCTGACTGCACAGTGAAGACTGTAAAAAAGCTTGAACTTCTTGAAAAAGCTAAATACACATAGCTTTCATTGATGGTGTATCGCTCAACTCTTCTACATTTACATTTATGTTTACAGCATTTAGCAGACGCTCTTATCCAGAGCGACTTACAGAAAGTGCTTTGTCTATCCAGAGAAACTATCTTTGCTAGTTACCAATAGATTAGAGAGAAAGTCGGTCCTGAGCTCAGATACTGCTAGAATCAGAAAGTCATTATTGACACCTAGAGAAAAAGGAACAGAGTTAAACACAGAGCAGTGCAATACAATACAATACAACACAATACATAAGTGCTGTACAATACATTACAATCAATACTTAACTCAGTGCTCATTTAAGTGCTGTATAAAGAGACAGTCTTCAGTCTGCGTTTGAAGACAATGAGAGACTCTGCTGTTCGGACAGCCAGTGGGAGTTCGTTCCACCACCTGGGCTCCAGCACAGAGAACAGTCTTGATGCTTGCCTTCCGCGCGCCTTGAGGGATGGCAGGTCAAGCCGAGCTGTACTCGAAGCTCGAAGGGTTCGTGGTACAGTTCGAGATTTCACCATTGCCATCAAGTAGGGAGGGGCTGGTCCATTTTTGGCTTTGTAGGCCAGCATAAGGGTTTTAAATCTGATGCGTGCAGCTACAGGAAGCCAGTGAAGGGAGCGCAGCAGTGGGGTGACGTGGCTGAACTTGGGGAGATTGAAGACGAGCCGAGCTGCTGCATTCTGGATGAGTTGCAGGGGCTTGATGGCTGCATTGGAAGACCAGCCAAGAGCGAGTTGCAGTAGTCAAGCCTTGAGGTGACAAAAGAGTGCACCAGCACCTGGGTGGCCTCTCGAGTGAGAAAGGGTCGGATGTTGTCCAGGATAAATCTGCATGACTGAGTTAGGTTCGCAATGTGAGTCGAGAACGATAACTGGCCGTCCAGAACCACACCAAGATTTCTTGCCTCTACAGACGGGACAATCAGAGAGTTCTCGAATGAGATGGCACGATCATGATGAGGACCTGTAGTTGCAGGGATGAATAGTAGCTCAGTCTTGCTAGGATTGAGCTTCAGGTGGTGAGCTGCCATCCATGAAGAGATGTCGGACAGACATGCCGAGATCCGACTGGAAACCTGTGTGTCAGAGGGTGAGAAAGAAAGCATTAGTTGAGTGTCATCAGCATAACAGTGATAAGAGAAGCCATGAGATGATATTACATTGCCAAGAGAGCTAGTGTAAAGAGAAAGGAGAAGAGGACCTAGCACCGAGCCTTGTGGGACACCAGTGGAGAGCCTGCATGGAGAGGATGTGGACCCTCTCAATGTTACCAGATATGAGCGATCCTCCAGATAGGGCTTGAACCACTTCCACTCAGAGTCAGTGATTCCAAAGCTGGTGAGGATGTCCAGAGGGATTGTGTGGTTGACCGTGTCGAAAGTTACCGAGAGGTCAAGAAGAATCAGTACAGATGACAGACAGGCTGATCTTGCTGACTGGAGCTTCTCGGTCACTGCTATAAGAGCAGTTTCTGTTGAGTGCGCTGGTTTGAAGCCAGACTGGTTGGGGTCCTGGAGCTGGTTCTGTGTGAGAAAGAGAGACAGTTGATTATAGACTGCACGTTCAAGAATTTTTGAAAGGAAAGAAAGGAGTGATACCGGTCTGTAGTTGTTGATATCAGAGCTGGCAAGCATGGGCTTCTTCAGGATGGGAAGTACTCTTGCAGTCTTCAAAGTTGATGGAACTTCACCTGATGACCAGGACTTGTTAATGAGAAAAGTGATGAAGGGCAGTAGATCCTTGGCTTCTAGCAAGTGGCCCAGCAGCCCAGGCCATACCTCATAAAAACATTAGTATCTTGCGGAGGAACAGAACTCATCTGGTGACCATGTCTCTTGCCAGAGGATCTGTCTGTTAGCTCTGTGGACCCAGCTGATGCCATACCACTCCCGAGCCCCACTGCAGAGACTCCTCACTTAGCAACTGGACAAGAGAGAAGACACCTAGAAGGAAAGCGCAGTCTACCAAAGCACCTAAAAGACTTTGTTAGCAGCAGGTGTCTTTGGAAACACTGGGTGAGCGCAGTGAATAATCCCCACATTCAGAAGACAGTTGGGTAGTCCACCCCAACTTTCTAGCAAAAAAAAATGTTGCATACATTTTAGTTGAGAAATGTAAAGGGAATTCTTATTTGGCCCTCTGACTTTCAAAACAAAAGTAACACATTAGAATTCATGGACTTAAGCTGGGATAAGTGAGTTAAGCTATTAGAAAGCTATTATCTCAGAAAGAGGGATGTTGTAGTATGCGGTTGTATCATGTGAATATTTGCAAATAATGTAAAAAATGGACATAAGGCAGAATGTTCAAGCAGCTGCTCAAGCTCATTTCCAGTTTATTAGTGGGACCTGAGATAACATAACGCAATGTCTCAGAAATTGATGTTTATAAGTCCAGGAGAGCTTTAGGGGGGCTGAGCACCCAGTGAGACCAGTCCCCCCCATTTATTTTTCTGATCATATCTTATATTATTCTATAACATTAATTAGCTGCTGCGCATACAGACAGTACTAATCCAGCACCTTGGCTTTAAAATCAATATCTAGGCCCACCAGTGGCACAACAGCTCACTTCTCTCACTCGAATTCAAACAGTGGACCGCTGTTGATTGACAACCTGCAACATTAGCTTGCTATATAAAAACACATCAGATAGTTAACGATAACAACATAGAGAGTAATGAGAAATGAGGACTGCTGCTAATGACTGTAATGTGTTGGTGCAGAGTGATAAGAAAACCTCGTCTGTGCTGCTGTACCTACACGCCCACTTGTGGTCCACGGCCCAGTGTTTGAGAAACCTTGTGTTAGAAATCGTAAAACAGTGTCTCAGTCATCAGGCAGTGAATTCATAACCATTTCATGTAGGAACTTTCTGTGAGGGAGCTTTTAGAGGTGGACGTCTGGTTCCTATCACCACCACTGTGAACAGTTCTGACTCGGAGCGTTTCACACCAGACCACTCTGAACGACTCTGAACCGCTCTGTTTACATCTCAACCACTTTATTATTCAGAAATGTGAAAAATAATAGAGTTCCTTTTTAACCCTTCCTTGTGGACTTACTGCTGAATTTATGTGTAAAAGCAGCTTTAGTGTTTTTTTTATCCTGTTTCCTGAATGTCTGGTTTGATTCCTCTCTCTCTCTCTCTCTCTCTCTCTTTCAGGGATTTTCACTGCTCCGATTAAAGGAGTTTACTTTTTCAGGTTTTACGCTCACTGTCAGGGTGGCACCAAAATGGCTGTCAGCCTGTACAAAAATGATCAGGGGCAGTGCTCTGTGTTTCATGGTAAGCCTGAGTACCACGAAAACGCCAGCAACGGGACTGTCCTCACTCTGGAGAAGGGAGATCGGATCTACACCAAGCTCTGGGATGACAGCTGGGTGTTCGATGATCCAAACAGCTACACAAGTTTCAGTGGATTTTTGCTTTTCCCCCTTTAAACATAAACCTGAAATTCTGAAACATCATAGATTCAGCATTTACATTGTATGACAGCGTTTACATTACATTATAACTTCTGGGTGTGGGTTATATGGCAAGGTTTAAGCTAGATCTTACTTTTAAAATATTGGAGAAACTGTAATCAGACAATTTAGTCATTAAGGAGGGAAAAAGTCACGTGCATGTGGTGTGACTTTCAGAGAATGAATTTCGACTTACGCAAAGTAACACGGAGGGTGTGTATGACTGCCTACACAATAAAACTGACTGCTTCATTAAAACACGACTGCTATGAATCAATACACACACACACACACACACACATCTTACACATCTTCTAAGCCGCTTATCCTTCAGGGTCGCGGGGGGAGCTGGAGCCTATCCCAGCAGTTGAATCAGTACAGTGTTTGCTAAATAAAAAAACATTTCAGTCACAAGTCTCAAAGTACTGACCTGCAAATCTTTATTTATTTATTTTTCCCCATGGCTAACTTAATATGAAATTCAAGTAGGCCCTAATATATCGAAATATAGTGTAGCGCCCCTGTCCCTTTAAAACGAATATTTAAAGTTACACGCTGGTTATAAGGACGGGGCCCTGGGCTCTGTAAATATGCTACTTTTGCTATAACACCCACCTGCGGTGCTTGTTTTTTGGTCTTGTGGGCTATTGACGAATGTGTCTCCAACAGATGAATAGCACAGTCAGTTAGACTATATTTTAAGTGTAGTTTTCTCTTTCCTTAAAAAAACAAAATATTTAGTATTTTAAATACTTCAATCTGTCTATATAAACTCCAATTCACAGTGTGCTGGACTATATGGAGTCAAGAATTTAGCTTTGAACAGAGATTCATCTTTTCAGAACTTAAAATATTTCCGAAACATGTGCGCAGTGCCAATGTGTATAAAAATAACCAAAAGTCCCAAAGCTAAATCAATGAATAGCTCCAAACGGGTCAAAATAATAATAACAAAGCTGAGTTTGTGCTGGAAATCAACCCCAATGGTTTAGTCTTTACCCACGTTGCAGGCCTGGTTCAATGCTTGAGAAGGGTGTGGCCAGAAAACAATAACTGCACTGGCCGCTTCACTCCAGAAGGAGTAAAATAAAAGAAAACAAATGGGTAGCGCCACAGGACCTCAAACACCCACTCGATGTCCCTCTCACTCCTGTAACCCTACGTTCACATCGGCGGTAACTTTTCGCCTCTTGACGCTCAAATCGCTGGTCATTCATCACCTGAGAGCGTTTCTGAACTCAAGCGGACTGTTGGTTGCCATGGCCAGAGAACTTGTAGAGAGAAGAATTCCCACTCCGTAATGTCTTCTGGGTTTCTCAAACACTAGATGGCGCTCCGAGCGAGTCCAAAATGAATGACTTGAGATGGAGCGTTTGAGCAAAATCCTAGTTTATAAATGCTCAAACATTTTAAATATAAAATAATACATTCATTTCCTGAACACAGAACAGAGTAAAACATCTTAACACTGCTGTTAAAGAGAACCTTTAAACTCGAGTTACAGGAGTTTAAAACAGCGCCTGATGTACGTTCATGACGTCAGTGAGTGCAAACAGCCAATAAGCTGCTCCACTTGGCAGCCAATCAGCACTCAGTAGCAGCAATGCTAACCAATCAACACTCAGTAGCAGTAATGCTAACCAGCAGCAGTAATGTTAACCAATCAGCACTCAGTAGCAGTAATGCTAACCAATCAGCGCTCAGTAGCAGTAATGCTAACCAATCAGCGCTCGGTAGCAGTAATGCTAACCAGTCAGCGCTCAGTAGCAGTAATGCTAACCAATCAGCACTCAGTAGCAGTAATGCTAACCAGTCAGCGCTCAGTAGCAGTAATGCTAACCAATCAGCGCTCAGTAGCAGTAATGCTAACCAATCAGCACTCAGTAGCAGTAATGCTAACCAATCAGCACTCAGTAGCAGTAATGTTAGCGTCCTGCTCCCCAAAACCTGTTTGCTGTAGTAAAAAGGAAACATACAGGTGAGTTTTCTTTGCTGTTTTAGTGAAATTAATTCTTCTACTTTCTACAATTAAAGGAAAGTTCTCTGTCAGTAATTAGAAACTATTTTAACTTTTTGTTTTTAGCCGTTGAGCTCCATTCACTCCCATTCAATGACGACTCACTCTGCTGTTTTGCAGTCCTGTTTTTGATATAATGGGGGAAATAGAAAGTGGCCAGGCTCCTCATAAGCCGGCTCTGGCTCAGTGCTCAATCAGAGACCGGCTCCAGCTCAATTCCTAATAGCAGTCACCACATCGCTTCGCTCCTTGCTTGCTTCAAACTCTGCTCAACTTTGTCGCGTCGCCAAAGTTCGTGCCGCCTCCTTTTGCCAGAAATCGCCAGCTCTCACTGAAAATGAATGACCTCTGGCCGCTTTGTCGTGTCGTGTTGCTGCCACTGTGTATGCAGGGTAATGGGTCCACCCCTCTCGCCTAAGCTGACGCTGCTCTGGCGACGTCCCCTCCCTGCCTCATTAAGCCGGGTTCTCAGTTTCAGTCTCCGCAAAACAAAACATGTCCTATTTTGAAGGCTCTTTCACATGCGGCTGAGAAATGTGTCCTTCTTTTCCACGGCAATGAAGGATCCAGTGGGTGGATCCTTCACCAGCCAACATATCCTGAGGTTCACTGCGTGCCGGCGAGGATTCGGCGGCACCAGCAGAGCAGCGAACGGCAGCTGAGCGAGCGATACAAATGTTAAAGAAACAACCCAAACTCATCAGGAGCCGGCGGTGAAGCATCTCCAGCTCTAGTAAATGAAAAACTGAACTCAAAGTTTCTGGTTCCTTCTTTAAAGAACTTTAAAAGATTTTGACAGGAGCGGCGTTCCGTGATGCAGCAGTGAGGGCGGGAACAGCGGTGCTGTGACTCAAACAGGAAAACCACCATAGAGCAGGCGATGAAGAAACATGAGTATCTTAGGATGAGCACGTTGTCAAGGCCAACGTATTTTGCCCAAATTTTATTCCCTCGATATATAGTCCTAGTCTTGGGTCACATACATAAACAAGGTCCTCACCAATCACAAGGCTGATGTGGTTTGCCCCGCCCACACAGCGTGTGTGATCGAGTGGAAAAACATACAGAGAGAAAGCTAACCACCAAGCAAAAGCTAACCTAACATGCATGACTCAGCTATCAAGAACGTCCATTCGTCTATCCATTCAGTCAGCCAGCCGTGCCGTATCCAGCAGTTCAGTGAATTAGAACATTCTTTAAGGTTCTCCATATGAAAGCTGGGTGATGTTTTTCGTGAGTGGACACAGCGGGGTCTACAGTATCACCTGTATATGTAGAGCTTGTTTCACTACTTGCTTCACTCGCGCTGGTGTATTTAGTTCTTTGGTGCTTTAGCAGTCTGGGAGTGTTGGACTAAGGGCTGTCAATCAAGCCTGCTCATTAGAATATTAGGCCACGCCCAGACAATTCTTAGGTCACATCAGTGGTTTTCAAGCTGTTTTACTACATTTCTGTCTTGTTTTTTGTCATGAAAACTCATCTACGACTGAAGTTTCATCTTTTTACATCACACACACATTTTACAGACTCCTCAGGAGTGAAAGAGCCGAGTGAGATAGTCAGTGGAGAGTGAGGAAGTGTGTTTTAAAGTGTACATATACATTATAAATCTTCACGATGCTACATCTATAGAATTTTTAAAATAATTAATCCTATTCGGTTGCAGATAAATGTGTAATCTGTGTAAATTCATAGAATGAAGTTCTAATAAAATTGATATCCAGAATAAAATGCTAGAATAAAATTAATGTCCTGAATAAATTTTATAATCAAGTTAATATCCTTAATAAAAATCTATAATTAAATTAATATCCAGAATGATATTTTAATGAAATGAATGTCCAGAAAGAATTGATATTAAAAAACTAATATCAATAAAGTTTTAATAAAAAAAAACCCAAAACATTTCTACAGCTAGGCTAATGTCTGCTAGCACCTCCATGAGATTTTATTAGTATGTTAGCGCTAAGCTATCTGCGAATTCACATGAACGCTCTAGATTAATACAGACACTTGAATCTTGCAACAGACATTATCGTATATCTGAGCTTATATGTATCAATTTTTCAGTGACTCAGTAAAGAGTCCTGACATACACTCTTAAAAAAGGTTCTTCATCATTTTGAAGAACCATTTCACCATGCAACGAGTTCTTTGAGTTTTCATGGTTCTATATAGAGCCATTTTTTAACTAAAGAATCCTGTAGTGGTGTAGTGGAGTGTAGAGCAGCTGCCGCTGTTTTCCATTCCTAACAACTACCCGGAACACTGCTTAGACTACAGCTCAGTCAGTGATGTATCTGTTGTGATTGGTTGGTTCCACTGTGAATTCCTAATTATTTTGATAGTTAATCTAATGTGTAAGGCTTTCAGTCCAGCTCCTGAAGTCCTGACCAATGAGAGAGCAGGTTATCTACCTAGATACCACAGAGAGAACAATCCTGATTGGATCATGTTCTGTTGGGCGTTTTGAGAACCCTTTTGTTTTTAAACAAAACATAATACTGAAATAAAAGTAGTACTGCAGTACTTTCAGAGTTTAAATTTAAACATAATTCTAATCAATAAAAATGAACTAAAACTTTAAAACATCATTAAAATCCCAGCAGTCTTCTAGGCCTTGAGAGAATGCAGCTTGAGGGTATTAAAGATAAGAGCCCAGTGTTGGTCACCTCAGAATTAGAGCACCAGCACCATCTAGTGGACATTAACCATAACTCAGGTAATTCACCTGTTCACTATATGGACAAAAATATGATATTGTTATTATAACAGGCCTTTTGGTATTAAAACACTGATGGTGTGTGGAGTGTCATGTTATTGCAGAACTATAATGGAGTAAATATGGACTGGCTGAGGGTCAGCAGGTACTAGATTGAGACCCTCTGTCCTAGCAGCAGTAATTAACCCTAAATCTGAACCAGACTGTTTGAACTTTTTGTCTTGGGGAGCTGAAAAGTAAACACAAAATCAGTGGTGGACGAAGTACACTGAACATGTACTTGAGTTAAAGTAGAGACACCCAGGGTAAAATATTAATGCAGTAAAAGTAGAAGCTCCTCCCTTTAGACCTCCACTGGAGTAAAAGTACAAAAGTATTCACCTTCAAATGTACTTAAGTATGAAAGTAAAAGTACTAAAAGATTAATTATGGATCTGATGTTCTATTATCATTTTTGTAACAAGACTCGCTTCATTAACTAATTTTAGGTGAAAATACTCCAGTGTCTCTCTTGGTAAACCAGTCTTTAAAAGATAGTTGAAAGATAGTTTAAAGCTTTGAAGTTGCCTTTAATATCACCTAATTTCTTAGTTCAGACCAAGACATTATTATAACTATTGTTTCACTTTTTTCTTTCACTCCACTACATTTAAAAGTCACATATCTCATTTTTCACTCCACTACATTGCGTGAAATCTGTCGTTCCGTTTGTCTTATGTGTACATGCTTACATGCTTAGGTCTCTTTGGCAGGTAAAGCAGAACGGAGTTCATCCAAACACTGACTGACCATCTCACACAAAGCATCAGTGAACTGATAGAACATGTTCCTCCTGACTTTGTGGGTAAACACATGAACACAGTATAGAAATATGTGCAGTTCTGACCGGCGTGTCTTTTTCTGAGTTTATTCAAACACTGATTCCACCTAAACTTTGCTTGTTCACAAAAAGTGATTTCATAGCCACTCGGTTCCTAATGGAACTGCTTGCCTTCAGTGTTTTGTGCTTATGATGATTTTAGGTCTCGGGTCTGCAGTATTCTCCTTCTCACAACATCTAGATTACACGTTACTGTTTGGCTGCTTCTGCTTAGCGACAGCATCACTTAATCCATTTTCGCCCATTACACAGCTAGAGGATTACATTTAATGTACCCCCCTGTTAAAAAAGGCATAGAACAAAGTGTCTGTCGGTTCCTGGTGGTTTTCAGTAGTCGCTAATGGTGCTCTGGGTTGATATCACAGTGTAAAGGATTCAAATCGTTTAATCAGCTGTTCTGGGACTGATTCCATATACAGTTACAGTTGTTCGTTTCCTAAAGCCACCGAGCCAATTCCCGTTAGGAAGCAAAACCATCAGGTTTTATTCCTGACGGTTCTGATCGTCTTCAGCCTGGCTTTCATCAGTTTCTGCAGCCTGTTTGTTTTTCTGCGAATGAACCCGACATTGTTTTATCGTCGTGGTTTTCTTTTGAAAGTTTCCATATTTAATTACCTTATTATCACTATGACAACGTTAATGTACATTCAGTGTAGCTCTTGTTGTCCATCAGTTCGTGATTCGTTAACAGGCTGGCGGTGCAGGTCTGCAGACAGACCCTTAGATTGGCTAATGCAAAAAATGACGGACAGCTCGTTCTAATTTGCGGTTGGCCAAGGCAAAATGTGATTGACGGCCAAGAGCAGTTATTTAATTGGTTGATGCAAAAAATGATTGACAGACTCCCGCTCCCAGTTACCTCCCCTTTTTCCCTCTTCCTCTCTCCCTCTCTCTTTCCCTCTTCCTCCACCCTCTCTCTCTCTTTCTGCCATGGTCTTTGTCTTTAACGGCTGTTTAACTGTCTAATGCGATAATAATGTCTGATTCTGTATGATCAGCATGATGAGTGAAATACATTACAGTAAAATCAAAGCTGGTTAAGTTGCTGATGTCGCTGCTGATTTTAATGGTGTAAATGTTCTGAACTGATATCAGTGAAAATATACAGTGTGAAGGCTGTGAATGTGTTTACTGTCTGTAGAGGTTCACACCTGTTAACGTAAGCCAGGGAGCTGATGGGCAGCAGGTCTCACTAAAATTACATCATTAATTAAGCAATTTACTCATAATTTTGAGTCAGTTTTCACAACCTCTGCACCGTCTTTCAGGGATTCTAAACTACTTTACTGGAAACAGATAAACTAGGACGTCTTATATAATCATCTAACCATGAAATGCATGCAGTTTAATGTGAACCTTGTTCCTTACACAGCTCACAGACAGGTGTGTAGATGTGCTCTAGCAGAGCGGACTGTGATCAGTCTCAGCTCTCAGAGCTTTAGCTTTAGTGTTTTTCTGTACAGATTATTTCCAGTGATGTAGCCGAGTAGCTCAGAAATATGTTCAGGTTGTGACAGCGGAAATATGAAAAAGTAACTAAGTAACTCAGTACTTGAGTAGTTTTTTAAGAACTACTCGTTTACTCTTACTTGAGTAATTTTAATTACTAATACTTTTACTTGAGTAAATTATCACTATAGTAACAGTACTTGTACTTGAGTAGGGATTTTCAGTACTCTTTACACCCCTGGTCAGTTCTGGTACTGGTGGTTTAAAGGTGCCTGAGATGTGGCCCTGTAATGGCAGTAAACAGGCTGGGTTCTGGCAACCGCATCTGGCCCACATCTGTGCCATCATTCCATGTGGTAAGTTTGGGCCTTATCAAATGTGCTATCTGGGGCTGCTATGGAGCAGGTTGCGCAGTACTGCTGAAAACACTGCTGACTGCTGCTGTTATGAAAGACATTCAGACCGCAAGTTCAAGTCAGGGATCACAAAACCGCAGACAGAACTCTACAAATCACCAGAGGCTACAGATTCACGCATATTTGTTTTTAAATGCCAAATACTTATTATGTAAATATGTAGAAACAATATTAATTTAGTATTAGTAACGTCTTTAGAAATATTGATGTGTTTTCCCCATTGAGTCATATCCACCAATGAGAGAAGCCATTTTGCAGACATATCAGCCAATGAATGATAGGTGGGCGTTCCTGATGTGGGCGTTCTTGTTTTAAGGAAACGCCTTCCATTGCAATTGGACTCTATCGTGCCAGGATCAGGCTGGGAGGACAGTCATGAGCTCATAGGAGGGAGAGAGAGAGAGAGAGAGAGAGAGAGAGAGAGAGATGAGCTCATAGCGAAGATTGAAGGAGAGAGAGAACAAAAGGGAGGCAAACAGTTTGTAAGTCTGTTTATGGAGAGATATTAGCGAGTTAGTAGTGCAACAAACTGACATGACATTTTTTAGCTTCCTGATCTTATCTTCACAAGAGACCACCGCCCAGAGCAGAACTCAGGAAGCTGCTTTCCGGTAATTCCTCTCAGGCGTAGCGGTCAGCAGGACGAACGCAGCATGGAGCAAAAGCTGGACAGCATCGCGACTCAGTTCACAGATATGATGGAGGAGCTGAGGAGAGAAATCAGAGGTAATCAGACTCTCTCTTAGCCTGTCTGAGCTCACACTGAGGGATGACTTCATAATTATGGATTATTAAACTCAGCCTAGTTTCCATTTAAAAACCCAGATCACAATGTTTTGCATATTAGGTTAATATACAGAGTGTTCATTATATGTGTGTGTTTAACAGATTATTTAAATTAGATACTTACAAGGATTATGTTTAACCCCAAGACACTAACAGAGACAGTGATAAACTAAATATATATAAAATCATCATTTATAGGGGCTTTATATTGGGAGGAGTTTAGCATTGTTTTTCAATGTTTTTTTTACAGTGATCACACTTAAGAATCGTCATATTTTCTGCTGTTCAAAGCTGTGTTTGCAGGTCATGAACTGCTGAGTTTCAGCCAGTGGTGGACAAAGTACTCAAACCATGTACTTGAGTTAAAGTAGAGACACCCAAGGTAAAATATGACTGCAGTAAAAGTAGAAGTTCCTCCCTTTAGACCTCCACTTGAGTAAAAGTACTAAAGGATTTGCCTTCAAATGTACTTAAGTATCAAAAGTAAAAGTACTGAAAGATTAATTATGGCTCTTTTTTTTGTAACAAGACTCTCACTTTATTAACTCATTTTAAGATACTCCAGTGTCTCTCTTGGTAAACCAGTCTTTTAATAGAATGTCATTAATTAATTAATATAAACCAGCCAAAACTAATTTATTATAAAATGAAATAGTGTTTTGCCCTGCGATGGACTGGCGACCTGTCCAGGGTGTATCCTGCCTTCCGCCCAATGACTGCTGGGATGGGCTCCAGCACCCCACCGCGATTTAGATGATGGATGGATGGATGGATGAAATAGTGTTTGTATAAATTCAGAATAAAGACACGTCAGTCTCAACTGCATATGAGTACATGTTTCTATATTGTGGTCTGTTTACACAAAGTTAGGTTAATTCATCATTTATGTCGAATAGACTCTCCCAAAATTTTACGCTGCTGCACTGATGTTGAACCGTGTGCTGCACTGGGTCGGTATGACCAACAGGTCAAACAAGCTCAAAACAAAGTGACCGCTGTGCCCTGATTGGTGTTCTTGCTTTGTGCTTCTTTCGTTTTGACATGTTATGTTTTTATACACACATAAACCAAAAGGAACGACAGATTTCTCATAATGTAGTGGAGATATTTGACTCTGAAATGTGGTGGAGTGAAAGTGAAAAGTCACCCAAAATTGAAAAACTTCAGTAAAGATACACGAAAAAACTACTTAAGTACAGAAACCAATTACATTTACTCAGTTACTGTCCACCCCTGGTTTCTGAGCTCAAAATGAGCTGAAATTGTCACTGAAACAGTCACGACTGAAACATTTGGTACAGTTTGGTAGAGCTATGATTGTTTTGGTAGAGACAAAATGGAATGTTTAATCATTAGTTTTAATAAAATTATCATAATTAATTTTTAGTCACTCAGAGTAAAAGGATTTTAGTCTAAAGTCTCAACTCTGACTTTGAACCAGTTCAGTAGAATCATGCATAAACTGTAATCAGCAGACAACAAACATGGTTAAAATGATCTATTAAAACATCTACAGCTACAGTCGATGCAGCTGTATGTGTTCAAGAACATCCCATCACTGCAAAGCTACTGTGCACAGCTTCGTATGTGACCATTTCTAGTGTCCATTTTTTTAATGCCCCCTATTTCTGCGCTTTATACTTAGAAAATCAGCAACATGGAATTTGACTGGGGTGCCCAAACATTTGCATATGACAGTATGCATTGGTGAGATCCTGCTGGTGTGGGTTTCCTCTCTTTCAGTGACACATACAAAAGTGATCTTAGTCCTAATGTAGACACTGCTGAACACAGTTTCATAATCACCTGTGGATTATCTGATTATCACTCAAATTGTAAGCCAATCTCTAAGTTGATTCATCTAGAATATAAGATCTTTTTTAATTGAGTAATTTATTTTAATCCAATAATTGTGACATCCCTTTGTGATTTGGTTACTAATGAGTCAGACTACGTGTTTAATTGTGCCAAATGTGAACATTATTACAGAAGTGGGAAAACTGCAGGATTTAGAGAAGAGACAGAAAACTATGGAAGCAACGCTGGAGGAGCTGAAGAAGGACAAAGGTAAAAGTCTATATATGTATTTATATTTATATATTATAAGTTAACCCGCGACCCAGAAGGAGAAGCGGCTTAGAAGGTGTGTGCGTGTACTGTAAGTTAACATATCCTCTACAGAGAACACACTTAAATATGACATTTTTCTGCAAATTTGAATGTGTGTTTTCTATTTATTACGTTGAGTTTAATGTAGGTTCCACAAAATGTTGTGTCCTTACAAGAGAAGGAAAAAAACATTAACTTGTAATTTTGGACCATTTCTTTTTGACCTTCTCTAACTCCAGTGAAAAAGAAAAAACATCCCAAATGGAGTAACATGTCAATTATTCTGCAGTTTAAATGTTATTCATTTAAAATTCAACCTGATTGGTCATATTTGGAAATAAAATTAAAATATAAAGTATTTGAGGGGCAGTGCAGGGGATTACTACAGATATTTTCAACAAAATGACTATTCAAGCAGATGACATCACATGAAGCTGAATATCAATGTTCTGATTGGAACCTCATAATCCTGCTGATTTCCTCCTTAAAGCAAAAAGGCTCTCTAAATCATATATTTATATCTATATATATGTATATATTCCCAGAGAAAAAGGTCGCCTTTTCTGCATCACTGTTGGCCTCTGGAGAGGGACACACTGGACCCATGAACCCTGTGCCGTCACCACTGATCTACAAAAAAGTCTCCAGCAACTACGGAAACGGCTACGACCCAAATACAGGTACAGTAAACGGGAATTAGTATCAGGAAGGTCAATCATTTAGTCAATGAGCTGATCAGCTCACCAACCAATCAGCACTAAGTATCAATAATGCTAACCAATCAACACTCAGTGGCAGTAATGTTAATATACACACACAAGAAAAGCTTGGCTGGCCGTAAACTATATGTTGTTGTCTTTCTCACTTATGTTTTGACTTCTGTCACATATCAGCCTCCTGATCATTTCGCATTAATCACTGTTTGATTGGCGTGTCAGCTTTACCAGTATTTTGGCTTGTGTTCACCCTTAAAAGGGAATTTCACCATTTTTTATGATTTGTGCATAACAGAGTGGTTTGGTGTGAAACAGTTCAGGTGTCTTTACAGTGGTGGTGATAGGAACCAGGGGTCGCCATGACTACAACACAAATATAGACATTTTATTTACTATCCAGAACCACCAGTGAACCTACACGGGTCCTCTGAGTTCATATGGAATGTTGATAATGGAAAATAGTGGAAAATCTGAAATAATTAAGTTTTCTTTGGGGGACTATTTTGCCTCACAGCGCCCTGCATATTATGTATCCCTCCACCATGAATGAATTTTAAGGCCAAAATCTGCTCAAAACTATAATAAAACAACGTCTCAGACATCGGGCAGTGAATTCATAACCATTTCATGTAGGAACTTTCTGTGAGGAGCTTTTAGAGGTGGACGTCTGGTTCCTATCACCACCACTGTGAACAGTTCTGACTCGGTAAGTTTATCTAGAACAGAGCGTTTCACACCAAACCACTCTGAATGACTCTGTTTCAGGGCTGCCAGAACCACGGTGGTGAGCAGGCATTTTCCCACCCACTTTTCAAAGTACAGCGGCCACACCCCACTACTTTTTGAGTTGAGGGTGCGACATAAAAACCTCCACTTTCCTTAAACTGCATAAAGCGCTGATCAGGCAGAGTAAAACTCAGGATCTCCATTTCAGCTGGGAGGTGCTTTCAGACCTGCCTTGAATGGTGCGGACCTGCCGAACTTTATCTTTAGTTTTGACGTGCGAAACTCCACCCACATTCAGGCAGCACCAAACAACTGAACTGCGCTAATTCACGACGGAATTCATCACCAGAGCACCAGAACACTTTCTCTGTACTGTCTGCACAACCTGCTGCTTTAACACTGCGCTCTTTATGAACGCTCACACACGAGTGTTTGTTTATTGATCAGAGGTTTTGTAGGGATGCAAGCGCTCCTTCCTGCTCTGCAAGCTGCTGTAAGTAACGAAAGACAAGCAATACAATAATGATATGTGATTAATTATGGACTGTAGTCATCAGTGACCTCATCGATTAAGCTTAAATTGGTATTCACAAAGATGAATTTGTCTTTATTTTCTGTTTTTCTGTTTTCGTGCTAGTAAATGTGAGAGTAGCAGAGCGCCTGCATCCCTGCAAAACTTCTGATCAATAAATAAACAGCCACGTGTGTAATTTAGTCCACTTTAGCCCTTACAGTCCACCATCTGAACCGAAGAAAAAAGATAAAACATCACAAAATCAAAATGTGGTGGCTCTTTAGAAAATGAACTGGGTGTGAAAACGTCCAGATGTTCCTTATAGATGCTAGCTAACAAATACTACTGTCTGAGGCTGCAGCTACTGAAGCAGCATCAAAACTAACACAGACACTGTTCATGATCAGGGTCAGAGGTGGGTAGATTAGTCTAAATTAATATTAATCTAAATATATTAATATATATTAAATAGATCTAAATTAAAGTGAAAATATTGATACTTGCATAAAATAATTAAGTAAAAGTGCCTTCCCAACAACAACTTGAGTAGAAATACAAAAGATGCCTGAGTCCTGCAGTGAACCTACTTAGTACATCCAGCATTTATCAGCATAGGAAATAAAGACTGTGCAGCTCTGTTCTTTTCTTTTGGGATTTTTTATTTAACTTACAGAAGCTCCAAAGTCAGAGATGTAACCAATCACAAAGGAGTACAAATCTTGCCACCATCAAAACAAACTGAAATTAAACACAAAAATAGAATTAGTATCTAAATATGAAAGAATAAAATAAGATTCCTTTACTCACCTTAGTTGATGTAAAAGTAATATGATCTGAAAAATACCCAGGAGAGTAAAAGTCCACCAGTAATTTACTGAAGTACATGTATTTGAGTAAATGTAACTAGTCACTACCCACTTCTGAGTAGGTTTATAAAGACATGTTCTTAGCTTGATATGAATGGCAGTTTTAGTCAGTGGCCTAATTGCATTGTGTCACTCAGCCAGCTGTTTTTGTTTTTATTGTTGTGGTTTTTTTTTCTAAAACAATTTGTTTTGCCCCACCACTTTTGGAGGTGAGGTGCCACCTCTGCTCTGTTTACATCTTAACCACTTAATTATGCAGAAACTTGAAAGATTAATTGAGCTACCCTTTAACCCTTCCTTGTAGGATCACTGTTGGCTCTCTCTCTTTTTCAGGGATTTTCACTGCTCCGATTAAAGGAGTTTACTTTTTCAGGTTTTACGCTCACTGTCAGGGTGGCAGGAAAATGGCTGTCAGCCTGTACAAAAATGATGAGGTGCAGTGCTCTGTGTATCATTGGAAGCCTGAGCACAACGACAACGCCAGCAACGGGACTGTCCTCACTCTGGAGAAGGGAGATCAGGTCTACACCAAGCTCTGGGAGGACAGCTGGGTGTTCGATGATCCAGCTGGCTACACAAGTTTCAGTGGATTTTTGCTTTTCTCTCTTTAAACGTAAACCTGAAATTCTGAAACATCATAGATTCAGCATTTACATTATATGACAGCATTTACATTATATTATAATTTGTGCATGTGGGTCTTACGGCAGGATTTAAAAAATATTTCTCAGAATCTGGTAATAAAGTCTCATATACTAGCTAAAAATCATCTGAGCATTTAATGGCCATCTTTCTGTTTCTTTATTTAGAAACAACCTACCTTTTACTTCTACTATGTGGCTACTAGAAACACCCACCCTGTGCTTCCACTCACTGGCCACTTTATTAGAAACACCCCCTTGTGCTTTCACTAACTGGCCACTTTATTAGAAACACCCACCTTGTGCTTCCACTCACTGGCCACTTTATTAGAAACACCCCCTTGTGCTTCCACTAACTGGCCACTTTATTAGAAACACCAACCTTGTGCTTCCACTCACTGGCCACTTTATTAGAAACACCCACCTTGTGCTTCCACTCACTGGCCACTTTATTAGAAACACCCCCTTGTGCTTTCACTAACTGGCCACTTTATTAGAAACACCCACCTTGTGCTTCCACTCACTGGCCACTTTATTAGAAACACCCCCTTGTGCTTTCATTAACTGACAACTTTATTAGAAACACCCACCTTGTGCTTTCACTAACTGGCCACTTTATTAGAAACACCTACCTTATAGCTCCACTATGGAGGTGCACAGTTACAGACTGTAGACCGTCTGTTGCTCTACAGTGTATCTGCCCCTCTCCTCCATACATCATTGGTCAGTTTCTCACCACGTGACCAATGAGCTACAGTCTCATGGTAAATTGTACACAAGCAAGGTGCATAAAGAACCCTGTAATTGAGTGTTCATGGTTCTTTTTAGAACCCTTTTCTTTACTAAAGAACCACTGAAAAAACATTGTTCTCCTGGCTATCGCTGAGTTTCGAACTGGGTAAACCAGTCTAAAGCCAGGGCTGAACCTGTTGGGGAAGGAGGGGGTCTGTAAATTCAGGTCGTTTCTGCTTATGAGACGCGTGGTGGCGCTAACTAAGCGCCTCGCGTTTACCTGACGGCGAAAAGAAAACCCTTAAGCGCCGCTTTTAAACACAGCGCGCGCTTTATACGCCGTCAAAAGCCTGGCGAGTTCTGACCCTCTTAGCTTGCCGTAACCGCACTCCGCTCACTCTACCGCTCACGCCCGCGCATGCGCACAGAGAATGATATATATATATATATATATATATATAGAGAGAGAGAGAGAGAGAGAGAGAGTGAGTGAGTGGGTGAGTGTGAAAGAGAGGATTTTCCGTCAGGCGGGGAGGACAGTCATCAGCTCATAGCGAAGATAGGAGAGACAGCAAGCCGTTAGTAAGTTAAGTTTTGTGTAATTAAAACTTAACTGAGTGAGGCAGGGCTGCAGCCTGAGTCCAACACTGTTCAACATCTACATTAATGAGCTGGAACAGTCTGCAGCTCCTGGACTCGCTCTCCAGGACGAGGAGGTGAAGTTCCTGCTCTACACAGACGACCTGGTGCTGCTGTCTCCAAGTGCAGAGGGGCTACAGCAGCACCTGGACCTGCTGGAGCAGTACTGCCAGAACTGGGCCCTGGCAGTAAACCTGAAGAAGACAAAAGTTATGATCTTCCAGAAAAGGCCCAGGTGTCAGGAACACAGGTACCGGTTCACTCTGGGCAGCACCGCCCTGGAGCACACGATGCAGTACACTTACCTCGGCCTCATCGTTACTGCGTCCGGGAGCTTAAGTGCACCTGAAGACGAGTCCCAGAGAAACGCTGCAGTTTAAGGCGCTACAGACCCAAGAACTGAACCCTGAGCAGAGCTCCCTCAGTCAGCTGGTTCTGAGGCTTATTAACCCACTAACAGCTGCTAACACACAGCAGCCTCGCTCAGCACTGCTTTACAGCCCAGACTAAACATCAATCACACCATCAGAAACAGTCAGAGTGACCATCTGGAACACTGGGGTAAAGAAATGAACACTCAGAGTAAATTAGAACATTATCAGGCCCTGAAAACAGAGTATGAACTGGAGGAGTATCTCCTGACTGTCAGAGATACAGAGCAGAGACAGATCCTGACCAAGTACAGACTCAGTGACCACAGCAGAGACAGATCCTGACCAAGTACAGACTCAGTGACCACAGCAGAGACAGATCCTGACCAGGTACAGACTCGGTGACCACAGCCTGGCCACAGAACGGGGAAGGTATAAAAAGTCCTGGCTGCCCAGATAAGAGAGGCGGTGTGGTCACTGTCTGACAGGTGAGGTCGAGACAGAGCTGCACTTTCTGCTTCACTGTGAAAAATACAGACAAGGGAAATTTACACAAACAAATTCAACAAATTTTGAAAAATGTACAGAATTGGAGAAATTACGAATATTCCTTGGAGAGGGGCTCACAGCTCACAGCCCCCCTGGCTGCCAAACACGTAACTACATGCCACCGCCTGAGAGACAGCGGGTAACAGCCCGTTCATACCCCCACCCTTCATACCCCCACTCCACTGACCCCCAACATTGCAAATTATTTTACTAATTAGTATGATTATAATTTATAAACAGTGATAATAATAATACTGTAATATTGTGATTATAATAATTAATATGGTTATTATTTATGCTGGTTCTTTTATCTTATTCTGTTTTCATTACTGTTTTTGTTGTTCACTTCTTCTGTTGAGATGCTTTAGCAATACTGTACCTCAAAGTCATGATAATAAAGCTATTCTGAAGCTGTTCGCGCTCACTGACGTCATGAACAGATATGAGGCGCCGTTTTAAACTCCTATAACTCGAGTTCAAAAGCTCTTAAAATATAACAGCAGTGTTAAAATGTTTTATGCTGCTCTGTGTTCAGGAAATAAATGTATTTTTGTGTTTGTATAAATTCAGAAAAAAGACACGTCAGTCTCAACTGCATATGTACGTATGTATGTATGTGTACATATTTCTGTCCAACAGGTCAAAACAAAGTGACCGCTGTGCCCTGATTGGTGTTCTTGCTTTGTGCTTCTTTTGTTTTGACATGTTACGTTTTTATACACTCATAAACCAAAAGGAACGACAGATTTCTCATAATGTAGTGGAGTAAAAAGTGATATTTGACTCTGAAATGTAGTGGAGTGAAAGTAAAAAGTTGCCCAAAATGGAAAAACTTCAGTAAAGATACACGAAAAAACTACTTAAGTACAGTAACGAACTACATTTACTCAGTTACTGTCCACCCCTGGTTTCTGAGCTCAAAATGAGCTGAAATTGTCACCGAAACAGTCATGACTGAAACATTTGGTACAGTTTGGTAGAGTTATTGTTTTGGTAGAGACAAAATGGAATGTTTAATCATTAGTTTTAATAAAATAATCATAATTAAGGTTTAGAGTCACTCAGAGTAAAAGGATTTTAGTCCTAATGTAGACACTGCTGAACACAGCTTCAGAATGACCTGTGGATTATCTGATTATCATTTAAATTGTAAGCCAATCTCTACGATGATTCATCTAGAATGTAAGCTTTCACTGATCTTTTTTAATTGAGTAATTGATTTTAATAATTGTGACATCCCTTTGTAATTTGGTTACTAATGAGTCAGACTATGTGTTTAACGGTGCCAACTGTGAACATTATTACAGAAGTGGAAAAACTGCAGGATTTAGAGAAGAGACTGAAAAATGTGGAAGAAACGCTGGAGAAGGAAAAAGGTAAAAGTCTACAAATGTATTTATATTTAATTGTATGCAAAAGTTTGAACATCTCCTCCCTGTCAATTTACACATTACAGTGTTGATTTTCTAAGTGAGTCAAGAGGCTTTATTGTCATTCTATCTATGTACAAGTATATGTATGTATGTATGTATGTATAAATATATATGTATGTATATATGTTCCCAGAGAAAAAGGTCGCCTTTTCTGCATCACTGTTGGCCTCTGGAGAGGGACACACTGGACCCATGAACCCTGTGCCGTCACCACTGATCTACAAAAAAGTCTTCAGCAACTATGGAAACGGCTACGACTCAAATACAGGTACAGTAAACGGGAATTAGTATCAGGAAGGTCAATCAGTCAACCAATGAGCTGATCAGCTCACCAACCAATCAGTACTCAGAATCAATAATGCTATCCAATCAGCACTCAGTGGCAGTAATGCTAACTATGAATAGTAATAATGAAAAAATGTATGTATATTTGTATACATATACACACACAACCCCAATTCCAAAAAAGTTGGGACGCTGTGTAAAATGTAAATAAATGTAAATAAAAACAGAATGCAAGGATTTGTAAATCTCATAGAACCACATTTTATTCACAATAGAACACAGAACACAGATGGTGAAAGTGAGACATTTTACCATTTCATGAAAAATATTAACTCATTTAGAACTTGATGGCAGCAACGCATCTCAGAAAAGTTGGTTCTGGGCAACAAAAGGCTGGAAAAGTAAGTGGTACTAATAAAAACAGCTGGAGGACCAATTTGTGACTAAGTCACGTGACTGATTACAAAAAGAGCATTTTGGAGAGGCAGAGTCTCTCAGAAGCATAGGGCAGAAAAACTGTGTCTAAAAATTGTGGAACAATTTCAGAAAAATATTCCCCAATGTAAAATTCTTTGTAAAAGACTTTGGAAATCCTACCATCTACAGTATATAATATCAAAAGGTTCAGTGAATCTGGAGAAATCCCTGTACACAAGGGACAAGGCAGACGGTCAGTATTGGCCACTCGTGATCTTCGGGCCCTCAGGCAGCGCTGCATTAAAAACAGGCAGGATTCTTTACTGGAAATCACTGCATGGGCTCAGAAACACTTCCGGAAATCATTGTCTGTGCACACATTTGTCCATGCAATCCACAAATGCAAGTTAAAGCTGTATCATGCAAAGAAGAAACCACATCAACACGATCCAGAAACACTGCCGTCTTCTCTGGGCCAAAGCTCATTTAAAACGGACTGAGGCAAAAATGGAAAACTGTTCTGTGGTCAGATGAATCAAAATTTGAAATTCTTTTTGGAAACCATGGATATCGTGTCCTGCAGAATCAAGAGGAGAAGGGCCGTCCAGCTTGTTATCAGTATGCAGTTCAAAAGCCTGTATCTCTGATGGTCTGGGGCTGCATTAGTGCCTATGGCGTGGGCAGCTAACACATCTGGGAAGGCTCTGTCAATGCTGAACAGTATACAGAGGTTTTAGAACAACATATGCTCCCATCAGGACAGCGTCTCTTTCAGGGAAGGCCTTGATTATTTCAGCAAGACAATAGACCACATACTGCATCCATCACAACAGCATGGCTTCACAGAAGAAGAGTCCAGGTGCTGAACTGACCTGCCTGCAGTCCAGACCTTTCACCAATAGGAAACATTTGGCACATCATGAAAAATCCAGCAGAGAAGACCCAAAGAAGACCCAGTATTGTCGAGCAGCTAGAATCGTACATCAGACAGGACAACATTCCTCTCCCAAAACTCAGATGCTACTCAATGGTAGACACGGCCCTGTCCCAACTTTTCTGAGATGCGTTGCTGCCATCAAGTTCTAAATGAGTTAATGTTTCTCATGAAATGGTAAAATGTCTCACTTTCAACATCTGACATGTGTTCTGTGTTCTATATTTTCATGATTTGTGCATAACAGAGTGGTTTGGTGTGAAACAGTTCAGATGTCTTTACAGTGGTGGTGATAGGACCCAGGGGTCGCCATGACTACAACACAGATATAGACATTTTATTTACTATCCAGAACCACCAGTGAACCTACACGAGTCTTCTGAGTTTATATGGAATGTTGATGATGGAAAATAGTGGAAAATCTGAAATAATAAGTTTCCTTTGGGGACTATTTTGCCTCACAGCGCCCTGCATGTATCCCTCCACCATGAATGGAGTTTAAGTTCTCTAAACTATCATAAAACAGCGTCTCAGTCATCAGGCAGTGAATTCATAACCATTTCATGTAGTAACTTTCTGTGAGGGAGCTTTTAGAGGTGGACGTCTGGTTCCTATCACCACCACTGTGAACAGTTCTGACTCGGTAAGTTTATCTAGAACGGAGCGTTTCACACCAAACCACTCTGAATGACTCTGTTTACATCTTGACCACTTAATCATGCAGAAATTTGAAAAATTTATGGCTCCCCTTTAACCCTTTCTTGTAGAATCACTGTTGTCTCTCTCTCTTTTTCAGGGATTTTCACTGCTCCGATTAAAGGAGTTTACTTTTTCAGGTTTTACGCTTTCTGTCACCCTGGCACCAAAATGGCTGTCAGCCTGTACAAAAATGATGAGAGGCAGTGCTCTGTGTTTACTTGGAAGCCAGTAACCAACGGCAACGCCAGCAATGGGATTGTTCTGACTCTGGAGGAGGGAGATCGGATCTACACCAAGCTCTGGGATGATACCTGGGTGAACGATGATCCAAACGGCTACACAAGTTTCAGTGGATTTTTGCTTTTCCCCCTTTAAATGTAAACCTGAAATTCTGAAACGTCATAGATTCTGCATTTACATTACGTCTTATTTTCTGGATGTGGGTTATATGGCAGGCCTTGCAAGCAGCTTTTCAGCTGGATCTTACTGTAATTAATCAATACAGCTTCATAGAAACAGTCCCAGGTCTCACAGTACTGGCCTGCAAATCCTTTTATCCTTTTAGATTTATTTTTATCGATAGATAGCTTGATACAGTATTCCAGTAGCACTGATACACTATATGGACAAAAGTATTGGGACACCTACACATCACATCTGCAGGAGCTTTTATGACTCCCATTCTAAATCCATAGGCATTAATATGGAGCTGGTCCCCCTTTGCAGCTCTAACAGCTTCCACTCTTCTGGAGTCAGGCAGGTAACGTTCTCCTGGCATTCGCCAAACCCAGACTCGTCCATCAGACTGACAGATAGAGAAGCTGATTCATCACTACACAGAATGTTTCCACGGCTGCAGAGTCCAGTGGCGGCGCTTTACACCAGTCCACCTGATACTTGGGAATTGTGGGGGAAGTGCCCATATCTTTATATTTCATGTACATATATGTCCAAAAGAACTTGTTATTCTTTAAATAACTTCTTAAGAATTGTGACGATATCAAGCTTGTAACAACAGAAGAACCCTTTTGAGAGCTATATAGAATCTTTTAAAAAAGGTTCTATATAGAACCATCTATGGCACATTCTCCATCAATCAGAAAAACCCTTTCATGATGCAGAGAACCCTTTAATCATGCAAAGGGTTCTTTGAGTTAGAGATGAAACGGTATTAAAATTTCATATCACGATTATCATGACCAAATTTATCACAATTATCGGTATTATCGCGATATTGTTCAAATGTGTTGAAAAGTTAAATAAATAAATAAATAAATACTGATACACAAACTGAAACTCGTTTCACCAACTTTTATATCAACACAAATAGATTTGGCAGCAATATGCACTTTTTGTTTGCATAAACATTAAAAAAAATAGGCAATACATTTGTAGTATTACTTTTGTATTACAATACTTGTAATATTCTGTAAACAATAGTGCAATAACATTGAGTTTATGCTTTTTGTGCAGAAAATTAGTACTGGAGGTTTAATTTAACAAACCCTAAATAAATCAAATGTGCATATAAAAGCAACATAACCATTCTAAATACAACAACGTCCATGTAAGAACAATTTACCACAATACTGGACCAAATGAACACCACTGACTGTATGTCCAGTCTCTTCTTCATAAAGAAATAAAATGCTGCTGGCCTAACACATCCTGCATGTATGCGTCTCACCTCACTTGAGATTGAAATGCAAAAATGTCAGCATATTAACTTTGTCCGGTTTGAGCACTGAACAGTCTCTCTGATGGCACGCTGGTTGCCGGGATGCACAAAAGCTTCCTGGCAACCCAGGCAAGATGAGGCAGCTCTGATGCATGGCCCCTCCACCATACCAGTAGCAAGCAAGCAAAGTTTATTTATATAGCGCTTTTTACAACAGGTGTTGTCACAAAGCAGCTTTACAGAAAAATCAGCATTACAGAAAGAAATCCGGGTCCGAGCCCCCATGAGCGTCGCCAGTGGCAACAGTGGCAAGGAAAAACTCCCTAAGAGAAACAGGAAGAAACCTTGAGAGGAACCAAGACTCAGAAGGGGAACCCATCCTCCTCTGGTCGACACCGGATAGGAAACGTTGTTAGTACAAAAACAGGGAAAACAGGTGGAGCAATGATTAATTTGATTGGTTTAGTTTATGCAGCAGCATCAGTGGGGTCGGGATTGTGAGGGTGAGGTTTGCACGGTGTTGTACAGCATGAAGCTCAATGGTGGTCAAGCCGGTCCAGAGGGCTGGCAGCAGTGGTACCTGATCAAGGCAGAAGAGGCAGCAGCATCAGACGCACAGGATGGGCAGCTGTTCAACTCGGCAAAGGAAACGAAAGAAAGGAAAAACACACAGAGTCAGTTCTGTAATGGGTGTCAGTTCTGTAATGAGTGTCAGTTCTGTAATGGGTGTCAGTTCTGTAATGGGTGACTGATCACAGATTACAGTGTTAGCAGAGCAGCAGAGACTCCATCAGGTCTGGATCTGACAGGGAAAACTAATTACCAAAGGCTCGACTATACAAGTAAGTTTTTAGCCTAGACTTAAACACTGAGGCTGTGTCTGAGTCCCGAACATTAACAGGAAGACTATTCCAAAGCTGGGGAGCTTTGTATGAGAAGGTTCTCCCCCTGACGTAACTTTATTAATTCTAGGTACTAATAGTGAGCAGCACCTTGTGATCTAAGTAGGCGTGATGGTTCATAGTGAGAGAGAAGTTCACTCAGGTACTGAGGGGCGAGTCCGTTTAGGGCTTTATAGGTCAATAATAGAATTTTATAATCAATGTGAAATTTAACTGGCAACCAGTGTAGATTTGATTAAACTGGGCTGATATGGTCAAACTTTCTGGTTCTAGTAAGAACTCTGGCTGCAGCGTTCTGGACTGGCTGAAGCTTGTTAAGGCTTTTGCTGGGACATCCAGCCAGCAGGGCATTACAGTGATCTAGCCTTGAAGTAATAAATGCATGAACTAACTTTTACTAAGAAGGAGAAAGTTACTCAACATCCAGTCTTTTACGTCTTTTATACAGTCTTCAATCTTGCCAAGTTTAATTTTATCATCCGGTTCGCTTGCTAAGTATAACTGAGTGTCATCGGCATGGCAGTGGAAATTTATGCCATGTTTACTGATAATGGTGCCCAGTGGTAGCATATATAGTGTGAATAATACAGGTCCTAAAACAGAGCCTTGTGGAACACCATACTTTACTTTTGTGAGGGCGGATGATTCACCGTTTATATTAACAAACTGATAGCGATCAGTGAGGTAGGACCTGAGCCAGGAAAGAGCTGTTCCTGTTACCCCTACAAGGTTTTCTAGTCTATCTAGTAAGATAGTGTGGTCTATTGTGTCAAATGCCGCACTACGATCAAGGAGGACTAACAAGGACACATTTCCTTGGTCAGAGAATAATAATAGATCATTTACAATTTTTACTAGTGCTGTTTCTGTACTATGATGTGGCCTAAAGCCAGATTGGAATTTTTTCATGTATTTGATTCCTATGCAAATAGGAGCTTAATTGTTTTGCTACAACTTTTTCCAAGATCTTAGATATAAAGGGGAGATTCGAGATGGGTCTATAATTTGATAGTTCGCAGGGATCGAGGTTCGCTTTCTTAATCAGCGGTCTAATTACTGCTAGTTTAAGAGATTTTGGGATGTATCCAAGGCTAAGAGAGGAGTTTATTATTGACAGAATAGGCTTGGTTATTTCTGGCAAAATTTCCTTGAGTAAACCTGTAGGAATCGGATCTAACATACAAGTAGATGATTTTGCGGAAGAAACAATTTTAACTATATCATTTTCCTGAAGTAAGGTAATTCCAGCCTCTCTGCAGGAATTATAATATTCTCAGGATTTAGACTGGCATTAAGGGGAAGCAGGTTTCTAGAGTTTGTGTTTCTTAATTTTCTGCCTAATTTTTTCAATTTTATCACCAAAGAAATTCATAAAATCGTTGCTGCTATAGGCTGATGGTATCTGCGGTTCACTAACTGTTTTGTTCTCTGTTAGTTTAGAGATTGTGCTGAAAAGTAATCTAGGATTATTCTTATTGTTTTCTATGAGAGAGGAGAGATACGCTGAGCGTGCTGCAGTAAATGCTCGTCTATAGTCTATAAGGCTCTCCATCCAGACGGACTGGAACACTTCTAGCTTAGTCAGGTGCCATTTACGCTCAAGTTGTCTGGCGTTCTGTTTTAAAGCCCGAGTGTTGTCATTATACCAAGGGGCAGTTTTTTCTGCCTTACTATTTTACTTTTTAATGGAGCCACACTATCTAGAGTAGATCGAAAATGATCCTCTAAGAGCTTGGTCATATCATCTAGCTCAGTAGGATCAGATGGACAGCTGAGAGCGGCTGATAATTTAGGAAGGTTTCTAATAAAGTTACCAGCTGTGGAGGGAGTTATTGTCCGTTTAACACAATAACATGGTGATGAGCGCACATTACCACTAAAGTGAATTTCGTAAGAGATTAAGTAATGGTCAGAGACTGCTGTGCTCTGGGGGAGAATGGCTAAGTTATCTATGTCTACACCAAAGGTCAGTATTAAGTCTAGAGTGTGGTTGTGGTAGTATGTGGGCCCCTTTATGATTTGGGTGAAACCTATGGAGTCTATAATAGATATAAATGCCTTAGTGCATCTTGAGGATTGTCAAAGTGGATATTAAAATCTCCGACAACTATTATTTTATTTGAAAACATTATTAGACTTGATAGAAACTCAGAGAATTCCTGTAAGAACTGAGAATTCGGCCCTGGTGGCCTGTAAATTGTAATTAGTGAAAAGGAATTTTTATGTGTTCCTTGATTACCTATATTAAGAAAAAGAACTTCAAAAGAAGAGAATGTATAGCCTACTTTCTGGCTCACGCCTAAAGCTTTAGTGTGGATGGTTGCTATACCTCCACCTCGGCTGCTTAAACGAGGGCTATGTGCATAGCTGTAGCCTGGGGGTGTGGCTTCGTTTAGAAGTATTCATTGGGTCTAATCCACGTTTCTGTGAGGCACAGAGCATCAAAACCGTGATCGGTAATAATTTCATTAACAACGACAGCTTTAGGAGTAAGGGATCTTATATTAAGCAGTCCTAGTTTTAGACCAAAGGTGCTGTCACTGCAAACTGGTATAACTGGTCTGATATTAATTTAAGTTACTATAGCAAATATTTCGAGGCTGTTTGATGCTTTGTTTTATTCGGGGAACAGATACAGTCTGTATCGGGAGGAACCAATGTGGCGTCTCAAGACAGTTTGCGGTGTGAGCATTTGTATTTATAGAATAAGTATTTGTATTAGCACTTGCCCTTTACAGTATAAGTGTTAGCAATCGCCTTATATTCAGCAGTAACCGTAGCATTATTAGCTGTAGCGTTTCTATTTTTGGCGCTACTTACGTACTGAAGTCAGCCCTCTCGATGTTCCTTGAGAGAACAACAGATCCCAGACGACTAGAGTGGAGGC